TAATGATAAAGCCCCATTATTAAAACAAGAAGTTCAAGGCTACTTAATGCATATTGCCAAACTGAAAGTTGCGTTAGTCATCGAATTGTCCCTACCAGACCTTCAGATATTCAGGCAGGAAGGAGCATGTACTCGGTGACAGTTTTGGCACTGCTGCACACCCTCTGGCTTCAGGGTGCCAACACCAGCCGCTTATTACACATTTTTCCTCCTTCCTTTATTAACAGACAAATACCCTTACTACAGAGATATAAGAACAACCATAATACATTAAAATAAGATATTGCTACAATATAACTTAAAAATGTGCCCTTCAGTTTCCCTATCCATATTCTATTGGGGGTGATATTAGTTACATACTTAAAGTTTCTTTTTCAAACACTAGAAAAATTTTCAGTTAAGATTTATATTGTGGGATTGAGGGAGTACCTATCTCCCTGGTTTTTATAGCAATGAGTTACTAACCTTATTTAAATTTATTTTCTAAGATCTTTTAATTTAAAAACTGCTTATTTTTCTCTTTATGCATGTTTATCATACTAAACTATGCTTTTTTAATTTACCCTATTTCTGAGACATTCCTATAAAGTAAAAATTCTGTTCTCACTGGGAAACAGAGAAACAGGAACTATTAATGATTTTTATTTATAAAATACACTTCCATGATTCTTTTTATTTGTAGACTTTTACCTGTTGTTAAGTTAGGAATAAAAGCTTATCCAGAAAGGCTATTAAGAAAACTTTTCTGAGATTCACTCTAGTAAATCCTTTATGTAAAACAATTCATTCTGTCAATTTTTAAAATTTTAACATTATTTTATACTTAGATCTTTTTTCTTTTGTTATTTTATTCCAGTTGTCTCCATTTTCCCCCCTCTACCCTCCTCCACCCAATCTCCACCCCCCTTCCACAGTCCATGCCCACCCTGTTATCCATGTTCAGGGGTCATTCGTACATGTTCTTTGACTAGTCCTTCCCCCCTGCCCTCTGGTCACTGTCAGTCTGTTCCTTTTTTCCAGGACTCTGGTTCTATTTTGCTCATTAGTTTACTTTGTTCATTAGATTCCTTTTATAAGTGAGATCTTATAGTATTTCTCCTTCACGACTGGCTTATTTCACTTACCATGTATGAAACTGGAGAATATTATTCTATCAATTTTATAAAATGTTTTTTTATTGGATGCCTACATGATACTTAAAAGTGTGATTCTCATTTTGTTTCTCCAAATCTGAATACAAATGGAAACTTGTTCTGCCTGAAAGTATAATTTTATGTAAAAACTGATAGAGAACAAATGTCATGCATTCTATATTTTATGTCAATAGGAACTTATCCAACAGTGCAAACATCAGTTGTATTTAATGCAAAATGGAAAATTATACTTTCATTATTCTTTTAGATTCAGCATGCTGACTTTCACCTTAAGCAGATTTGTGTAGCAGGAAGAATTATAAATCATTATAAAATGCCTAGAAGTAGTAATTACTTTCTCAGTACTTAGCTAAAATACAGATATATAAAATCCTGTCTTTTTGACATATAAATTATACCAATAGAATTTAAAATGGTAGATTAAGAAACAGTGGGACTAAACTTTCAGTAGTAAAGTCTACAAAAGTTTTGGGGATCAGGATTTTGTTTTTAATTTTGAACTGCCTTTAGGAATTCATATTTTCCCTGACATATTACATGTAACTGAATAGCCAGGTCCATTCTGTAGCTAATCCAAAGCCACTAAATGGCTGATCTTGTAATCTCCTCAACAGATAAAAAAATAAGAATTCAGTCCATTAATTCCATGTAAGCAAGTATAAAACAATGTTGATTTCTGGACATGGAGGGACAGAGAGAATGGTGCTGGGGGAGGAGGCAAGGAAACAGTTACTAACTTTTGTTGGACAGAAAAGTCTGCTAGGGTAAATGTCAGCAATGTTCATCCAGTTCAGTGCCCTTTCATAGTGGTAACACAAAACATGTGGTTACTTTCCAAAGCCCTGCCCCCTAGATTAATTATATGTCTGAAGCATCCTACCTTTAAATACTGTATCCTTTATTATTCATTTTATAAACCTTTATCAAAGTTATTTAGATTTTTAGCCCACACTATCTATAGGTAGAAACTCTATGTTTGCAATGGACTGAGGAATTTATTTCTTCTAATTCTACCACTTGCCAGCTCTCAGGTTTTTGCTTTATTTTCAGCATGGATGTGAAACATTCTTTTTCTTGGGTAGCAAAGGCCCGAGAAAAAGGAGTGCATTTGAATTTTTTTCTAGTATGCTCTTTTTTCAAATGCAGTCAAGTATGCATTTGATTTTTTTTTCTTTTCCAGGTGGTCCCTTATATACATACATTTAGATTTTTTCTCCATAATGTTACCAGTTGTACATTGTCATATATGTCATTTTCATGACCATTTGCATGCGTTCTGGAATATTCTTATAGTTTTTCCAAATTTCATTATCTAGGAAAGTTTACTGTCATCTATAAAATTGGATGTTTTGTTGTACACATTTTTTAAGATTATAAGTAAAAATATTATTCTACACACTGATCTTTGTGAATCACCTCATATTGCTATATACTTCTTTGTTCAGAAAAGTAACCTGTAGTTTTGTATACTTTGGGCCTGTATCCCAGTGACTCAATATTTAAGATTACTGTCTTAGGGAGGTTGGTTCTAAGGCATTAATTTATGAAAATCTGAATAAATTACATTGATTGTCCTTTAATTACACCACAGGAAAACAATCAAAAGTCTGACAGGTTATTATATTCAGTTCCATATCCAGAATCTCGGGAAAATGTCAATTCCTTCCTTGTTACATAGTAACCCCATCACAATGTTCTGCAGTCTATGTACTACAATGTAGTTAGCCAATGTCAAAAATACTATATACATTGATAAGAAAAGGAAAAAAGGGAAATTAGTTCAAATAGAGATGTCATAGAAAGAAAAATGGGCAGATGCTATAGCTCTTTGTTTTTGAAACTAGTCAGGAAACCCTAGCTAGTATTTATGACTTTTGTCCAATATCCATGCCCCTAACAAGTACAGGTTTTTATATCTGGTGAGGTAACCAAAACCTCATTCCTGAGGGATTTAAGACCCTGCCAGTATAAGGTTATATAATATTCCACTAACTGAAAAGGAGTCTAAGAAGGAAGAAACTCAGGGCCTTAATGTTTTTGTCCATGCTCCTCCTGGCTCCCACTGTATAGCAGTAATTCCGTTTCTCCTCTGTGGATTATCAATCACTGCAGTCAGTACTTTAACACCGACTTTGCCTGTGTGCCCAGTGCTCCAAGGAACTTGAAATGGTCAAATGTGGTCTTGTCTTCTAAATCAACAATACCAATGTTATAATAACCTTTGTGGAAGCATTTCTTCCTCAAGTACAAGCACAGGCCCTTGGCAGGCAGAGGCCCATAGGGTACTGGCCCAAAGACAAGTCCTTGTAGGCCAATAACTCATTTTGAGAAACAGCTCTCTCTGACCTTTTAGAGAATGAACACTTGATCTTGGAACTCCAGGTAACACTGTGACCCCAGCTGTCCATTCTAAACAGGATGCTTTCTGACTCACCTAGTCCTGACTATGCATCAGGGCTTCTCAACCTTTACACCACTGACATTTTGATAGTTACCCTTTCTGATGGGGAGCTGCCCTGGATGCTGTAGATGTTTAGTAGCATCACTAGCCTCTACCAACTAGTGGCTAGTAGCATCATCCAATTGTGACAATCAAAAAAGTGTCTAAACACAGCTAAATATTTAGCTAAACTGTTAAATTTTGCCCCATGGAGTCTAAATTGCCTTTAGTTGAGAAACATCAACATACGTGCATCTTTGAATTCCATCATCCAGGAGCATCTTGAGTCAGTCCAAAAGCATGAGTAAATTGTACAATTGCATCCCCAGGATGCTTTCCCTGTCATGCTGCCTCTCTTCAACCCACAAGGCCTCATGAGTTTCCTGTAACTGACTGATGTTGGAAAAAAAAAATTCAAGCTTGACTTACAAGTGTTCTGGGTACTATGTTATCAGTAGCCAAGAGTGAGACATTAAAACCCCTGTTCATGCATGACAGAGAACAGAAAACAAAAATCCTATGAGAACTTCAAGCAGTTCATATTGTTGTCTCCTGGTGAAATATGGCATAAAATAAGGGTTATGCATGTTCATGGAGAATAAATGAGCAGTTGGTTGTATAGTCAAGGGTTTGGAAAATGATTGGTGCCAACTTAAGAAAAGTTGGAAGGGGTATTCTTCCCATTTTATAGATAAGGAAGCTAAGAAGCATTAAGTGATAATACTGCATTAAACTCATTGAAGACTCATTATACAGCAGTCTCCCCTTATCCTTGGGGAATTCACTCCAAGACCCCAGTGGATGCCTGAAGCCACAATAGTACCAAACCCTATATATACTTTTCAATACATACATATCTATGATGAACTTCAACTCATAAATTAGGTACAGTAAGAGATTAACAATTAATAAAATAGAACAATTATATAATAAAAGTTATATGAATGTGGTCACTTGTTTCACGGGATCCCTTAAGAACTCTGAATAGACTCAATATTTTCTGGAGCAATACTGTTTAATTGCTAATTAGAACACATTTTCTCGTTTCCCACTGTATGTTTCCCAAATTCAATGCCTTTCCCCCTGAACTAAGCATACATCATACACTGTGGCCACGAATTTAGCAACCTCAGCATATAACTTTTCTTATTGAGAACTTTCACCTTTTCACTTAACGTAAGCACTTTGTGGTTTCTCTTTGGCACGTCCAAATTGCGAGCATCAACAGTATTCCAAGTGGGAGTTGCTAAGTAAAATATGGATTGTGTGAATATAAGCACTGTGACGACTGACCTAATAACCAAGATGGCCACTAAATAAGGGAGGGGTGCACAGCATATGAAGGGATGATTCAAATTATCAGGCAAAATAGCACGAGATTTCATCATGCTACTTGGAACGGCATGCAATTTTAGAATTTTTAATTAAATGTTTATTTCTGGAATTTTCCACCTAACATTTGTGGACCGCAACAGACTCAAATGCGGAAGGCAAAAACCACAGATAAGGGCAGGGGGACACTACCACATCTTGATAACCAAACTGATATTCTGGTAACACTTAAGGCAGAATTGAATTTGGGGACATATATAATGAATTCCTGATGAAAGAGCAAGTAGATTAATAACTACTTTTACTCCAAAACTCTTTTGTGGCCAATAATTAGCCACAGGTACACATACCAAATGTATCCTTCACAAGTCACTGAATGGAATATGGTAAGCTATACAGAAGATGAGATAATCTGAGTCAGTTTTATAACAGAGATGGATTCTAGCTGCTCAATACTCGTCTTGACTCCTTTTACTAAGTGACAAAAACCATATTAACAGGAGAAGCCAAAAGAGGAAATTTATTAGCTCATGTTACCAAATGTGAAGATAGCAGGGTCACCACTGGGCTTCAAGGCCTAGAAGAATGTCAGTAACAGTAATCATGTCAGCCTTACTCCTGCCTTCCCACAGCTTGGCTGAACCCTGGCTGCCAGCATCTCCTGGACTTTTATCTTCCACGCTTCATCCTACCTTAAATTTAAGTTGAAATATCCTGGGGAAAGACTGGCCTGATAGTGATTCCTGTTAAAATCACTGTGGCCAGGAGAGACGAGAAACTAGGATTGGTTCAGCTTTGGTAAGGTACCTATCCTTAGTCAATCACTCTGCTATGTAAGTTGGATGGTTTGTATTTGGACTGTGTTAAACTGGAGAGAGAGTAATTTCTCAGGAGTACTAGTCCAGAAGAAATAGGGTTCCAGAAAAGTATCTTACAGTTGATATCTATATATACCTGTATCCTATAGATATCTACATATAGGTATACTGGAAACTTTTTCTTAGTCATAAGACAAAGAATCTGAAAGAAGCTATCCAGATTTGGGTGGGAGGTGATTAGAAGGAGTGGAGAGAAGAAAAACTTGTATATTCCTTTGCAACAGAAGAACCCTTTAAAGCCAAAGTTGGGATGGGTGGGGAGGGAAAGACAGGGAGTAAAAATAGATTTACTGCAACATCTACTCTGGAAGGAATCCTTGAGCCCCGAAATTTGTATATATGTAAGTATGTATGTACGTCTATATGTACATAAACAAATACACATATTAATCTAAACACTTCAGATCATTTAAATTGGAGCATCATTTGTCACTTTCAACTAAGTGTTTTTGAGTAGTAAAAAATTAAGACTTTAGAACATCAACAAATCATTTACTTAGTAATACACTCAGCAGATAACAGAAACAGACTGCACACATTCATTTCCCATTTACCCTGAATAACCAGTTTCATTCTACAACACTTTCCTAAATGTAAGTTTTTCAATGGCTAGGGAAAATAGTATTTTAAATAGTCCATCTTTTAAAACTGGAATGACTTTCCAAACAGGAATTTAGAAGTGAGAATAATGAAGGCTTAATTACTATAAAACAAAAACTAACACCACAATTGTAGACAACATTTAAATAGGAAAATTATGAATTATACATATATATACAATGTATCAAAATACATTTTCCATTTCAGTAACTAAATTTTTGAGATTAAAAACCGACTAGCTCAAGCATTTCTAAATATAAAAATGTCAGGTTTATATTTATTAAAAACAAAATAAATCAGTTCTATTGAAATAACTATATATACACCAGGATAAATATTTGGAATTGTGGAAACAGACATAATGAACAGCTTCAAATTTCTCAATATTTTAATGGGTTATGTGTGACCCCTTTATAGACGTTTTTGTTGTTAAAAAAAATCACTTAATTTTAAACTAAGGTCAATATGCTTTTGTAAAAAGACAAAACACTTATTAAAAATGGTAGGTATTAGGTTTGCACCAGCTAAAGAATAAAATTTATTTTTCCAGATGTAACAATTTTTAAAACATACAAATTCAATATGTAATAGAAAAATATGTAAAAAAAACCACAAGAAACTATGCACCATTAAAAAATATAAATGCACCTTCTATTGATGAAAAGAATATCAAAAACTAAATATGCTGACTTAAAAGTAGCTTCTGTAAAATGTCAAAGTAGTAAGCACTGGTTGCTTTCCTGATATAATGAATAATTAAGATATATTTCTGTTTCAATTAAACAGTAGTATCAGTATTTCTTAGGGAAAATGTAGTATATACATGGAAAGGTAGGCATAGTACTGTATTCAAGTTTTCCAGTTTAATTTCCATTAAAATGCTTTCTACAGTTTAGAAAAATAACACACATAGAAGAGATGAGGTAAACATTTTGCAATTTTAAGAAATTACTTGAAACAATACTCAGCTATCCCAACGCCTAGGTTTTAGAACAATGTTTAAGAAGGTCTTCCGTAATGATATGACAGGTATCTGAATCACATAATGAACAGTAGGTTTCTTGGTCTTCGGAGTAGGTGATGATGTTCTTCTCTGTTATTATAAAGCAATCATGACTTAGTTTTGCCAAGAATACTGCTTCAGTGTCAGTTTACATGAGGCACCATGCAACAGTAAGAGCAGCTACAACACCATTCAAAATTGCCATGCTATAGCCCATGTGGAAAGAATGTCCAGTAAGTTTCCTGAGGGGGGAAAAATGAAAAAAGGAAAACATTATTTGGTATAATAGAAACACCATCTGTTACGAACTGGAAATGAGTAATACATTAATTCACAAGTTAAAAAAGAATACTGGACATCTGCAGGGTTAGTAACAGATAGAGCTTAAATTTTCTGTTAATACCTGTCTGGGTTATCAGACTTTTCAATTTCATTACTTAAAGCAAAAAGCTCAGTTTGATACCTATACTTTTTTATTGTACTTCATAGTTTCTGTGTGTACTGTAACCTAATTCTAAAGTATACGATTTCTTACATTATGAGCATTTCTTTCATTAATTAGTACTGCATTTCTCTGCTCTCTTGTTCTCACTTAGAATTTAAAATATGTATTATTTCATTTGTCCCGTTTGTACCATTTTTAGATGATATGAAGGAACTCTACTTCTTTGAGCACTAAAAACAGCATGTATCCACGTGCGAATCACAAAGCAGATTATGTCTTTTATAGATATTTCAGTTCTCAGCCTAATAAGTTACTTAATTGAAGTGGCTTTCAATGACTTCCTAAGCAAAGACACATCTCTCTGTCTTATGATTACTATGAATAATGGCTATCTTTTATGCACAGATTTTCTGTAATACTTACTATCTGTATCTTGCAGAATTTTACTACATTTTTCTCTCTTAACATTCCCTCCACTAACTATACTGCAATTACACTCTTTGCCTATCCTCATAAGGATTACACATGCTATAATGAAAAGGTAGTGTCTAACTGGTGTCAGAGGCAGAACAGAATCTTCTCATGGGAGCAATTCAAATCGATGACACATAAGGAGGTGCACTGGCAGTAGTGAAGCCAAAAGTCCTTAGTAATAAGCACCCTGGACTGAAAGGATCATTGTGCCCATGTCCTCTCCTCCTTTCCTAAGGATAGGTCAAAACCAGGGAGACCTGGGTAATTAGACCTGAATTAACATTTGAAGAGCACCTAAATATAATGATTTCAATCCCACATGATCTGTGGTAGAAAGTAAAGATACACTTGAACAACCTCTTTGCAATTCACCTGACAACACAGATGACACTGATACGTTCTGATGGCTCCCTGTTCTGGTCCATGGAAGTTAGTATTTACCATCTCCACTCAACCTTACTCACCTCCTAGGGACTAGTTTAATGTGCTTCTCATGTGACATTAAGGGTTAATCTGCCTAACAGTATTACCTACTACATGGCAAAAAAGTGTACTAAATGCTTTCCCCCTAAAAAAAAAAGGAATTCCTCAAACATATTGATTGGTGAACAGAAACCTAATCCTAAAATTGAACTGTCAGCATTATCATTCATTGTAAAACAAACAAACCAACCAACCAACCCACTAATGATCTGAGAACATTTGAATTCATACTAACAAAGTTAATCATGGAACAAAATTTCAGGAGTTGTTTTCTTTTTCTAGTTCGTGACCCTGCACTCGCATGGAAATAGGAAAACCCCTAAGTACAGTTTACTAAATTTTAGGAAACTGTAACTACAATCTTAATATAATTGAATTTCACAGAGATGTACATGCTCGGTTGCTCAGTGACCCTTACAAAACATGCAAAGCAAAAAATTTTAATGGCCATGATGTGAGGTTCCAGATCAGTGGTTCATAGAGATTCTACCATCTCAAATGCACCATATTCCTACCAACTGGGAAGAGAGCAGCTGTCACACATAAACTGCTCAGGCAAGGGACTTACAATAAAAACTTTTAAAGCTCCTTTACAAAACACTATGATTGTCCTCTCTGGGGGAAGATATACAGACAATCCCTGGCACGTTTTCTCTCCTATGACTCTTATTTGTGATCTTTGATGTTCTATTAAAAAACTAAAGGTATAGGCATCTTGGTTTTCTTTGTCAGAACCCTGCATTTATCTCATGTAGAGGTCATGTTCTGAATTTAAAAAATGATTAAAGATGGTGCCTATTTTATTTAACCTTTTTCTATACACACATATGCATTTTACTTAAAGCATACACAGTCAAGTGCAAATGCCTGTCGTGTATACAGATCAATGAACTTTTATTATGATTCACCCACATACATGTACTTACCAACCAGACCAAATATAGAACATTTCTAACACCTCAGAAACTTTGTTCTTTTCCCTGTCAATATCCACCTTCCCTCCTCCAAATCCTAAGATAACCACTACATTGTCAGTTATCATGATGACTGCTTTCACCCACTGTTAAAACTCCATCTACATGACATCACATGGTAAGTATTCTAAGTCTCGATTCTTTCAGTACTGTCTGTGACATTCATCCACTTTATGTAGCATGAATAATGTGTTCTTTGTATTGCAGCTTAGTACTCCAGTGTATAAAAATACCAAAATTTATCTATCCATTCTAATATTTGGTGTTTGGGTTGCTTCCAATTTAGGACTCCTATAGCACTAAACTATTTACATGATGCTATGTGGTTATCTTCGGTGGGTGGTGGGCATCGGTCCTCATTTTTCTTGGGATATTCTAGGAGTGGAATTGCTAGGTTACAAGGTAGATATAGATTTGGATTTAGAAGAAAGCATTAAATATTTTCCTAAAGTAGTTGATCACTTTGTACTTCCACTAGCAATGTATAAAAGTTTCAGTTGCTCTATACAGTCCCCAACATTTCACATTAATCAGTTTTTTTAATTTTATTGGGCCAGAGAGTATGTGGTGGCTTTAATATTTACTTTTCTGATAACTAACATACTTATTATTGCCCATTCAGGTATCTTCTTTTCTGAAATTCCTGTTCGTCTTTTGCTTAGTTTTCTGTTGGTTTACAGAATTCTTTACACATTCTATACCCAAGTCCTTTTGTCCAAAATGTGTTTCAAGAATGTGTTCTGTTTATGGCTGCTCTTTTCACACTCTTAATGAGATCTTTTGATAAACATCAGTTTTTAATTTAAATAAAGTCCAATTTATTAACATTTTTAATGGTTAGTACTTTTTTGTAACCTTTGTCCTATAACCTGTATGTGTGGGACTGTTGTCAGAGTTTCTATTCTATTCTTTTGATCTATTTATCTATCCCTGATTTTAAAAAAAAATCAGTAACTTTTCTTTGTATAGCATTAGCCAATTCAAAAAATTTTACGCAGTAAGATCCCTCAAAATATGAAAGAACATAAAGAAGATAAAGGACTTCCAGCCAAGATGGAGGCGTAGGTAGACACACTGTGCCTCCTCGCACAACCAAAATAAGGACAACAACAATTTAGAAATAAAATAACCAGAACTGACAGAAAACTGAACTGTATGGAAGTCTGACAACCAAGCAGTTAAAACAGACACATTCACCCAGACCAGTAGGTGGGGTGGAATCAGATTGCCAGGCAGAGAGGGGTCACAGCAAAAAAAAAAAAAAAGCGGTGGCACTGGGCACACAAGACCGCAGTGGGCGGACCCTGGGCACGCAGGCAGCGGCTGGCAGACACTGGGTGCAGGGTGGCTAACAGGGTGGCGATTGTGAAGCAAAGCACTGTGTGCAAGGCGGCTGTGTGCAGTCCTATATTCACATGCAGATAAACCAGGTGAAACTGGGAAGCGAGAGAGACTGTGCAACCCAGGGTCCCAGAGCCAGAAATAAAGCTTCAAACACCAAATGAAAACACCTGTGGGGGTTGAGGTGCAGGGAGAGACTCCCAGCCTCACATGAGAGTTCTTTGGAGAGACCCATGGGGTCCTAGACATGTACAAACCCACCCACATGGAAATCAGCAGCAGAAAGGCCCAGTTTGCTTGGGGGAAGCAGCAGAAGGGACTGGAGTCCCACAAAGAGCAGAGTGGGCGCCATTGTTCCCTCTTGGACCCTACCCCCACATACATCGTCACAACCCAGCGACTGGGTTGCCCCACCCTGGTGAACACCTAAGGCTCTGCCCCTCATAGGTAACAGGCATGACAAGACCCCCCCCAAAAAAACCCCACAAAAACAAAAAGACCCAAACAGAAGAACAAATCAAAGCTCCACAGCAAATACAACTAAGCAACAAAGAGAGAGGCAACCTATTAGATGCACAGTTCAAAGCACTGATGGTCAGGATGGTCACAGAATTGGTTGCATTTGGTCACAAATTAGATTAAAAAATGAAGGCTGCGCTAAGTGAAATGAAGGAAAATGCACAGGAAACCAATAGTAATGAAAAGAAAACTGGGACTCAAATCAATGGAGTGGACCAGAAGGAAGAAAGACAAAACCAAACAGAAACGAATGAAGCAACAAAAGTTCAAAAAAATGAGGAGGCTTAGGAACCTCCAGGACATCTTTAAAAGTTCCAACATCCAAATTATAGGGGTACCAGAAGGAGAAGAGGAAGAGCAACAAGTGCAAAAATTATTTGAACAAATAATAAAGGAGAACTTCCCCAATCTGGCAAAGGAAATAGACTTCCCGGAAGTCCAGGAAGCTCAGAGAGTCCCAAAGAAGTTGGACCCAAGGAGGAACACACCAAGGAACATAATTACATTAGCCAAGATAAAAATGAAGGAGAGAATTCTAGAAGCAGCAAGAGATAAGGGAACAGTTACCTACAAAGGAGTTCCCCCATCATACTGTCAGCTGATTTCTCAAAAGAGACCTTACAGGCAAGAAGGGGCTGGAAAGCAGTATTCCAAGTCATGAAAGGCAAGGACCTACATCCCAGATTGCTCTATCCAGCAAAGCTTTCCTTCAGAATTGAAGGGCAGATAAAGTGCTTCTCACATAAGGTCAAGTTAAAGGAGTTCATCATCACCAAGTCCTTATTTTATTATATGAAATGTTAAAGGGACTCATCTAAGAAAAAGAAGATAAAAAACATATACAGTAAAATGACAGCAAACTCACAATGATTAACAACCACACCTAAAACAAAAACAAACTAAGCAAACAACTAGAACAGGAACAGAACAACAGAAATGGAGATCACATGGAGGGTTAGCAACAGAGGAGTGGGAGGAGGAAAGAGGGGGGAAAGGTACACAGAAT